TAAACATTAAAAAATCACCACTTTTCATTACGGTAAAGTGACTTGTGCCACTTTCAAAATAAACGGCTCATACAAGTTTGCTTCGTAATTTTTGTTTAATCGAATGAAATATTTTAATTTTTTGACTATTTTTGAGGTTTCTAGCGCGGTCGTGCAAGTGTTAACGCTAAACCTACCGCGGTCAAAGTGACCGCTCTCTTATTTCGCAATTCTGCAAAGTTTCGGGACTCTTTCGTGGAAAACGCTTGAATAAGTTACATTATTGGAGCAAGTTTTACAATAAAAACTTTGCAACATCTAAATAAATTCGGTCTTCTCACTTTTGTGAAGGCAAGTACATGCCAGTTAGTATTACTGCTTGGTAGGTTTAGTGTTATTATATATATTAGGTTTAATATATTATATTATATATTAGGTTAATATATATATAATAGGTATTATATATTAGGTTTAGTGATGAAATTTTCGCGAAACTGTTTTACCCGACAGATCGTACGTGGCCCAGGATTTATTTATTCCAACCCGAGCGCGCAAAAGTCGATTCGAAAAAGTCGGAAGAACCGAAAATCGTATAAAACGATCGCCTTGAATCGCGCAGGATACGAAGACCCGCGGTGTCGAAGATTCGGTGGAATGGCCGATAATATATAATAGCCGATTATAATTAGCCGAAAATATATAATAATAGCCGAACGATGCTGCTCTGCTAAGGTTTTGCTGCTGCAGCGTTTCTTTAAAAAACGGAATCGGTTCGAAAAAGCTTTTGAAAGTCGCTAATAACGTCGCGGAATAAATACGTGACCGGATCGAGATGAGATCCGCTGGATCGTAGACGTCGATTAAGGGATCGACGAGAGGCTGCCACCCGTATGCAAAACGATCGATCGCGGATAAACGGATTGCGTAAGTTTGCATCACCGACATTGGCGAGTTTCGTAACGAAGACCGGGAGACACCTTTGGTCCCGGGTTGTTCGCGTTGTTGGTTTGTTGCGCGAGCAAACCGCGGGGAAAGAAGGGAGGATTGGAAAGAAGCCTGTTCTCGAAGAAGGTCGACGACCATCGCGCGCGCCGAGGAATCATCGGCGGAGATCTCGCGTCTTCGGAGCACGTTGCCAGACTCGCGAACGACGAGAGGATCTGAAAAATCGTTGGGAATCGCGGCGCGAACGGGAAAATCGGATCGGGGCGTTCGAAGAATTAGTCGCGGCACTGGTTCCAAATCGGATCCAGCGGGTCTCCGACGCGATTTGCTATCGAAACGACGACCAGCGACGGTATCGATCGTGCTCGGAATAGCAAAATCGAGAAATAGCGGGACTCGATCGACGGATTTCCTTCGAGAGAGACGATTTCTGTACACGAGAACCGCGATTTTTGAGTTTCCAGGCGCGATCGAGTTAGGGGAGGCCATGGGAAACCGTGGAAGGTCTCCGTCGATCGCGACGAATCGATGAAAACGGTCCAAGAATCGCCGTCGATCTTCTTTCGACGATCGACGAAGCATCTTCCCGTTCTCTCCCGAGCGTCTCCGGCCGCCATTTTGATACAGCGCCGTCCATTTCGTCGGCCGCGAGAGACTTTAGCGAGGCAAATCTCGCTTTACATTGCATACAATGGTTCGTTAAAAAATCTGTTCAATGTCTGGCGGTTATACAACCGTCAACAGGATCGTGGTATAATAATTACCGAACCTCCGCAAACAGGAAGCCATTGCCGGTTAAAGAGCAAACGCATTCGCGACGAATGCGCGGATAGTTTGCGCGTCTCTCTCTCTCTCTTATGCAACTCGCTGCTAATGAATAATATAAAGTCATCGTACCGTCGTCGGAAAAGCGTAAACGACGCGGAATGCGACGACGCCCTTGAATCCGCAGGTGTCGTCCGGAACGATGGCCACCGGTGTTCCATCCGCGAAACAATTGGACGTTTAATTCGCGTTCCCGATCGTGTTCCAGCAAGTGTTTGCGACCTTCGACTACATGGCATCGATGCGAACGAGAGGTTCCACGTTGCGGGCAACGCAATTTTCTAGTTTCCGAGCAATTATACTCGAGTATGAAAGGAACTTGAAAGTCGACGGAGTTCTCAGAAAAGCGACGATGCGGTTTAGATCAATTCAGCATAGATCGATAACCCTACGCGTAATCTTAATCGGCTCGCTTTGGATAATCCGTTGCCCTGTGATTTCCGTCGCCGTTGCGCGCCGATTAGAATTTCCTCGTCGTCGACGATTTTCTTAACCCTTTGCACTCGTGTGGCGACTCTGAGGCACCGCTAAAATTGTTACATCGCGTTCCAAAATGATATTTATATTATATATAATATAATATAATAAAAATATAATATATATAATATAATATATATATTATATAATTGTTGTACGAGAGTTACAAGACTCGATTTCAGTGCATAAAATACACTTTGTCATATAAACTGGAAATACTGTAAGCCAGAAAAGTTAATTTAGATTTACAGTTAAAATGGCTTCGAGTGCGAAGGATTAAAATTCATCGAACGCACAGAGGATCGCACTCGCGCGCGTCTTGTCGCATCCACGGATTCCATTGTTGAGAAACGTGTTCCGCCGGCAACAAGTTCCACGACCTTGCTGAATCGCATGGGCGTAGAATCAGCGCCGAAGAGCGAAGAAAGCGTACCAGCTTTACCAGCGAAGAAAGCCAGGGAAATTTTTAACGAACTCCGTTACAATTCTAAAATTGTGAGAGCGATATCAAATGTAAAAAAAAAAATTGGAATTACTGATAACAAGAGAGAGGCGGCTTTAGCCGGGTTGTTCCACCGTAATGGCAGTTAGATGGGAGTTTTACGGCTTTGCTCCACCTCGGCTACACGGTGTATACAAGTTTCTGCTGGCTGTGGAGAAAAATATCCGGTGGTGGGGGCAGGTAGACGAAACTCTCCGGCAGTTGCTCGTTTGTAAAGCCTGAAGCAGCCAGCCAATAGAATTTGTTCCTGCTCTACACCGTATCGAATGCCGCGAGAGACTTTCTTTGTGTCCCTGTTGTCAAATGTAAAGATGGATTGCTATTATTTACTTCTAGGAGATAAGAATCTGCTTACGGAGAAATGGTTGGCAACGGTTTTCGACGCGAAGAACAATGTGCGCAGCAGAGTGACTCCACGTGGCCGAGTGCGTTTCTTTTAAGCATCCGAGAATTCTATCTGACGTAATAACACATCATTATTTTTATCCTGTCCTGCTTCCGAACATTGCGTTGCATGTGCTCGCGATAGAGCGATCTATGCCCGAATCGTCGAAACCGGAGGAAATAAACGGAAGCGTGTACGACGCATGGTTCCAAGTAAAAATACAAGCTTCGAAGTACAGTAATAATGTCTCCCTAACCGGCGCTCGGATTCTGCAGAAAAATGGACCATTTGGGAAGAGGAGATACAATTATTCGAGTCTTGCAGCTCGTTCTTATAATTGTTGACAATCGGTAATTATAAAAACGAGTTGCAAGGCTCGAAGAATAATATCTTCTTATCCCAAATTGTCCATTTTTGTTTCTAAGCTGAGCGTCAATTAGAGAGCCATTACTGTACGTCACGCGCTGTAATAAATTCTCTCCAATTGACGCTCAGCTTGTACACAAAAATGGACAATTTGGGAAGAGGAGATATTACTGTCCGAGCGTTGCGTCTAGTTATTATAATTCTTGACAATCTGTAACTAATATAAAAACGAGTCGCAAGGCTCGAATAATCGAATCTCCTCTTCCCAAATTGTCCGATTTTCTGGACAATCCGAGCGTCAATTAGAGAGACATTACTGTACACTGCGATTGGTATTCGAAGAAATATGTCGCAAACACGTTGTTAATAGGCGCGAGGGAATGTTGCAACGATGTTGCAACAATTCGACAAAGATTTTTGTCCCAGAAAAATAGACCGACACGATCGCCCGGAAATTTCTAGTGAAATCGTGGCACACAATCGTATCTCATTGCGCAAGGCTTCGACCATAGCGCCCCGATCCAGCAGCATCGACACGGTCCTTGACTTCAAATGTCATTACAAAGTAAATAATACCGCGAGCTTTTGTCGCAAATAATATCCGTGTATCATCGACGAAGCCAGAACTCTGTCAACGATACGTAATTGCTTCCTATTTTGATCAATTACACTCAACTGGCACGACAAATTTGTCAGTCGACAAAAATGTATGCGTAACAGAGTTCGAATTACGATCGTGAGTCCATTCTGCGCGTTAAAGTCGGCTTTCCTGTCGATTTTTCCTGGAACTCGGTTCGAAGAAACTATTCGAGCGTGTTCCGATCGATCCGCGATTATCGAGCCAGAAGAACGAACTCGATGAACATAGCAAATTATTCTTCCGTAAAAAGTTCTAGTTCAAGGTTGAACTAGATTTGAACTAGATAAACAAGATTTGCTTCGACATGCTACAGCCGTCGAGGTATAATAATTAATAGACCGCCGGTAGACGAAACATTTGCGAAACGCAATAGTTACACGTGAAAATGACATGATTAACATAAAGGTCGGAGGAGGGCAAGAAGTCTACTCGCGAAACTCGCCGAGCATAAATATGCATGTACGATTATTATCGGATCTATAACGTTAACCGTCGCGACGGGTGCAATTTCTAGAGCACGCGTCGACAAGAATGTCGCATACGATTGCTCGGTGCGGCCGTTAAAATAATTCGGCAGCTTTTAAATAACTTCGAAATGAATCTCGCGATATCTTCCGAAAGCGGATAGCACGGTCGTGATGTAACAGCGCGTCCGATTGGTTCATCCGTACTAACCTATTGTGAATAATTTCCCGCGTTCGAAACGTACACATAACCTCCCGTCGCAGAAGACACCGTTGGGACTGGCTTTTGCGGCAGTAAACACGATATATAAGACTTTGAATCGTGTCGATTCAGAACCGTCGCAGTTGACAAAGAAAGAAACAGCGATACAAAGTCGCTGCTGCGGCCGTTGAAAGTGGCAAACAAACGAATATTACCTCCAGTCTTCAAATTGGCACCTTCGTCGATGGGGATGACCAGCAAAGGGAAGATGCCAGTCAGTCCGATCATCGTGCTGCCCAACAGCGAGAACAGCCACGGGCTGTACACGAAATATTCCACCGCGGATTCCCATGGCGTCCATAAATCTTCGGCGACCATCTCATAAAGGAACCCTGTGGATTCCGTGCTCACGTTTGCCGCCATGTTTGTGCGTCTCGTGTCGAACACGGAGGGTGACCGAATATCCTTCGCGGTTCGCTCCTTTCGTTCGACGATTTCGGTTAGTTAGACTCGGTTAGATCGTCGAGATCGATAAAGGATCGACGTGTAATAATCACAGTCTATGCGATGCGCAGATTGTTTAAATGCTGCTGCGTCCTCGTGTGAGTCTGTTTACACGAAGATAACCTCTCTCTCTCTCTCTCTCTCCCTCTCTCTCGTGCAGCACCCCTGTGCGTTTGCGACGTAGTTTAAATAGCACGCCAAAAATTCGCGGAATCGTTTCGTTATCGTCGAGACAACGACTACCGTACGCCCGACTAGCCTACACTGAGAACTGAGTACGGACGCTACGAATCAGGCGGTCGCCGACTCTGCTATCGCCGGGTTCTTCGATCAAATCAACCCTTTTGTTATTCCATAGTGCCGCAATGCGGGGACAATAGCACCGGAATCGGACCTATGACGATGAATACGCGGGCAACGGCTGTCAAGACACGCGTTCCAATCGAGACGGATTCTCTCTCTCTCGGTCGTCCACGCTCCCGCGCTTTCTTCTTCTCCTTTTGCCTCTATAGCCTCTTCCTCCCCTCGGACTTCTTCGTTTGCTCGCTCGTAACGCCTGCAACACGATGTCGTCTCATATCATCGACGAGGGCCGTCGCGAATCCGCTTCGATCACCCCAGCTCTCTCTCTCTCTCTCTTTTCGAGGTGTTCCTCTGTTCTCGATTTAAAGGGCCTGTCACAGGATCGATCGGAGCAGTCACTTTTACCGCCAGAAGCACGGTTGCACAACTGGACACCGAGTTAGAACACACTTTTTCGAGCTGCCTAACCTTGGTTTTAGGTTAGGTGCGTCTCTCCGGTCTACCGCTCTTCCCCCGAGAGGACGGAGGATGAATCTCTCTGTCTTTCGGATTGATCGAAAGATCGCACACTGTTGTCGCCGACGGTATTTTTGTTATTATTGGTCGAGAAGTTTAAGAACAAAGTCGTCTTCTGTTCTGTATATCGATGCAACGGATAATGCGCGTTACCACCATTCCGGAGCCTTTTATAGACACCGAGGCGCTGCGCTACCGTGATGGCGGTCAGGGTGGGGGTCGGCGCGGCGAGGGAGGGGGGGAAGGCGGCGAAGATAAACTTGGAGCACGTCGATATGTACAGGCTGTACCAGGTTTCGTAGAAACGCTTGTATAATTTGTAAATTGTTTAGCAAACGGCGAGGACGACGGCACATTTCGGTTGTCGAAAAAAAGCAAACGTCTCGCCGAAATCGCTGTTCTAACTTCACGCTGGATTCGCGGTCGTTCGAGATTCGTCGACGCTCGAATTTCGAATATAAAGTACGGTTTAATGCGCAGTAGCTGTTTTTTTTGTTTCGAATTGGTTAACATAGCCGGAGCGTATTTTGTCGCGGATGCTTTCGTTAGTTGTTATCGCTGTATTTGTGCAAAATTATCTGCCGTTATCGCGTCACGACTGTCTTGCCGCGATAAAAACGCGCACCAATCAATTTTTCGATTGCAAAAAAAGTTAGAGCGATAATAATACAGCCGATGTAATCGTTTCCATTTAGTCGCGCGAGCTGGAACAGGACGCGGTAACGGAAACATTCCCTCTTGTCGTCGAGTTTGTAAAATCGAAGCGGAGCTTCCCCGGCCGCCATTTTAATGATCTATTAACACACAGACACTTTGTTTCGATAACAATCGTTGCGCAATAGCTGTAACCGATAAGTTTAGCAGAAAGACAAAGACCGGAAACAATGAAGTTGATATTGATAACGCGTTGCGATTGCGTCTCGCTTCTGTTAACTGGATCGAATAAAAATCGGGATTTCCATCCGGTCGAATCGTGTCAATAATTACTGTTGCGTTCCAAAGTTCAGTCATAGCACATGGATATATGTATATTGTGATAAATATATTTAATAATTTCGCGTCGAATTAGTAAATCTACCGTCGGTAACGGCGAACCGATAACGCCATCTTCCTCGATACATCGCAAACATGGTGGGAGAAATAAATATTTGGATAATTAATTATAATATATATTATAATTAATTAACATAATTAATATATATATATATAATTAATATAATTAATTAATAATTGTTTACAGATCGAATTAAATTAAGACTAGCAAGACCGAAGCAGCGATCGTTGTGTTACGAACATTTGGAAATCCCCGAGTTCTCTTTTTTTTTCCTTCGGTGGCAGGAAATGTTTAATAGATTAGTCACACGCTTCTAAACAATATGTGCACAGGGAATTTACAATCAGCAAGATTCCGTAAGCTGTTACTCCGCCGCCCTGTTGACAATATATTGTGGCCTTAATTAATCAAATTGCCGATGGCGCCGTGCCAAATGGTACCTATTTGGCCTGTAATCAAAAGGATATTCAACAACTGTCACGCATTCGCGAACACTCGAGACAAATTTTTCCGATCGATCCCGTAACACTAAATTTCTGTCGTTTTACGCTCCCGATTAAAAAAAAGAAAAAATCTTTATTCAGCGAGGACCGCGAAGGTAATCTTCGCACGGCGGACATCATCCTTGATCAGTTGCGGCAATCATAGTTGGATCAAATCTTCACTATCACTTTTCGTTTACTTCCATTTTGACGTAAATGGATTTTCATTAAAATCAAATGCCTCTCATCGGTCTCGATATTAATGAACGATAATTAAAAATGACCGTCACAAAATTAGAAATTAGCCGGAACGTTTACTGCTCTGTAAAGCTCTAAACGTTTACAGCTCTGACTCTGGGTCAAAGTGGACCCGCTATCCGAGGATCAACGAGAGGCTATCACGCTCTCTCTAAGTTTCCCCATAAAAATACGAATCCTTTCGTCCCCGCAATGGCGTTTCGGAGTCTCTCAAAGTCTCCGATCGATTGCAAAAATCCCGTTTTCGTGTCATTTTTAAAAAAATCCCATCGCGTTATTTTCCAGAAAAAAGAAAAAATGTTCGAAACGTTTCGATCGAACGCAGAGACAAACAGTTCGAGACAAATCCGTGTCGGTAGAACGCGATTTCCCAGCGTTTGTCGGCGACGTAAACGAACGATTGCCGTAAAAGGATCGGTTCCGGTCGTTGCAGAAGGCCTTTTTTTCGCCGTGAAATTTTCAAAAAGTCGCGCAACGGGTCCGCGCGGCGCGTCGGCCCCGGCTGGCTCTGTGCATCCTTGCGTGGCGGAGCACTCCAGCGGCTCTATTTTAGGAATCGACAGAAAGTTAAGATTATTTCAGCTACATTTTTTACCTCCGAACCAGAGCCGGCAGAGTGCTTAGCACAAGAGCATCACGATGGGCATCGGTAGGTCGATTTTTGTGCGGGCGTCGAGGATCGGCCGTTCGTGACGCCGCGTAACAAAAGCGGACAGGCGGACAAGCGGACAAATTATAAAATTGTTTCGCACGCGATTACGTAATTTCTGTCGGGACAACGAGGCTCAAAAAATCCGCGGAACGCGCGCGCGACAGATACTTTCTCGGAAGGAAGGATTGCGTTACTCACGTCGCGCAATAGCAAATCGTTCTCGTCCAACCGCTGGGGAATCTTTCCGCGAAGTCTGCTTTATCGTTTCGCTGGGACAGGAACCGTAACGGAAGACGTCGTCGACGACGAGCATCGTGCTAGTGCGACCGAGTCATTTTTTCCCCGAGTCGTTTCGAACGCGTTCGTCGGGTTTCGCCAGTGCGTCGACGGCGCTCACTTTTCCTTTTCGAAATTCCAGCATTCTGATGCTCGAACACGATCGCGGACATCATGGATTTGCGACGGATGTCCAACTGGAACGTCCTCAGCGTGGAGGCAGCCCTTCAACAGCTGAACACCTTGGAGGGAGACGAGACCAGCGCGATTAGACGGCCGAACACGGTAAATGAAACCACGGTTTCGATCGGAACACGTCAAATCGGCAGTTCGATTCGCTGGAGAGAAACGATCGCGTTTACGTAAAACCCGTTCGAAAACGACGGGCGGAACAACGAGACCCGGAGAGAGGCAGACTTCTTTTCTAGCCCCAGTCGCTAGGGTATACTAATGGGTTCTACCTATTCTTATCTCGTCTGGTTGCCTGACGGCTTGCCTTTATTTATAACTAATTAAGCTAGACGCCGTTTGAAGTGTACCCTAGTTTGGTCCAGTAAATCAGCGGCGTTCTGACAAATTGGTGTTCGTCGTTCGCAGCAGCGCCTTTCGGCAGCTACTTCGTTTTCCGTCGCCGTATCGTTCGAGCGCGCGATAACATGAACAAAAGGACGTTGTGATCCGTGAAAATTTCGTGATTTCCCCGCGATCGATTGTCTGATCGAGGATCGTTCGGACCGGTTTCGCCGTCGACTCTGCTGGACGATTTGAATCGTTGCTGCGATGAGCACCTGGCATCAATTGAACGTGGAACATGCCACCAGCGCTATATCCAGGGAGGACCTCGGCACCAATGTTCATCGACTTAAAATCGTGCACACCGGGGTAATTGTTTCGCGCGAACGCCGAAATACCAATTCGACGGAATCTTTTGCCAATCGTTTTCCGACTCGTTCGATGAAAATCTGTAATTGCTGGATCAGGCAAGGTGGTGCTTCCGGAGTCTGTGAATCTATAAAATGCGATAAGTCTTTATCGGTGTTGTTGCTCAACGCTTCGCTGTCGCGTTCTCGATGCCGTAACCATTAGAAAAGTCAAGTGCAATCCGATTGGTAACGCGTGACGCCTTTCAAGCGCAATGTTATCGATTTCGCTCGATAGCATCCGCTATCTCTAGAAAGTACCACAAGTGTTGGAAGAAGATATAAGCTCTTTAATGATTCTATACGCGAGATCGAGTGTTTGGTCGCCGTTATCCGTCTTGCTGTTTGATCGGAACACGCGAGGAACGACTCTGTGGCAGCAGTTTTCACGATAAAAAAAGCATCGCGCGCGATGCTTATGGATCCATGGGCGTCCGAACAGCTAAGAAAGTCACATTTTCCTCGTTCGCCCGCACGTGTACGAGCTCGGTCTCGTGTCGGACGTGTTCCAAGTCCGAAATCCCCGATAGCTCGGCAAATTTTTAGTCGAACCGTGCGAACAATTCTACCCGAAGGGAGAAATCGACGCCCTAGATCGAGTCGTGGAAAAGTATTTTCTGAAGAATATATTATATATATTTTCCGAAAAGATCCCGTGAGATCCCTCGATATTTCGCATGGACCCCGCGCGATCGGTCGTAGAAACTTCATCTCGAATTTGACGTTTCACGGTAGACACAGGGAAATGCACCTTGGCTGCAGGTGACGAGTTTAAAATTAAAGCGCAGACGGGTCTTCCGAGGCTTATATTTAGGACGACGCGCAGGCGCGATCCGATTAGAAATGCCGTGAAGACTTAGAACTTCTGTATCCCCGAATTCCGACGTGCGGGACGCTCGGGAAAAAACAGGAAAACGGGTTCTCGAGGTGCTCCGGTTTCGTTTCTCCCTGGGGAAAGATCGTCGCGAGTTCGCTGGTGGTGTAAAAGTTCCTCCGACAGACTGGACTCGATCGTCCGTGATCGCGGAATCCGATCGAAAATAGAGTCGGGTCGGGCCTCTGTATCGATCGTTCGATCGATTCGGGCGCGTTGCGTTTTTATCGTTCGCCGAAAGATCGTCGCGCGTCCAGAGGTTGTTCCTGATCGAACGGCAAGATGGATCTCGGGGGTGTGGACGTCTGGGGCCAGATCGCCGTGGAGACGTCCCAGATGTTCGTCTCCGAGGGCGGCGTCATTAAAAGTCGCTTCGCGGGGACCGTAAGTTCGCAGAGAAAGCCCGAGGGGGGTTCGGGGGGGAACGGTTGGCCGAGGGGAACGAGCGACGATCCGGCGAGAGTTCGCGAAACGGGACACGTTCTCCAGCGATGATCGATGCACGCTCTGTTTCAGACCATAGAGAAGCTGCCGGACAAGATCGTGATGCACGTCTTCAGCTACCTGTCGCACCGCGAGATATGCAGGGTCGCGCGTGTCTGCAAAAGGTGGCGGCAGATCGCCTACGACACGCGGCTCTGGAAACACGTCTCGCTGAGGCCGGAGATCAGCGGGCTGCACGTCAGCTCGCTGGACAATCTGCTGCACTTGATCAGGTTAGCCGACGATCGGGTGTCATTAACTGTTACCGAGGAATCGGTGAAAAAAAGTCTCGAGAATTTTGGCAGATAAACGCTTGTTCCCGAAATATGTACGCGAGCTGTCCCGCTTGCCAAAACGTTGCTCGCCGGATAAAAACTTTTCTGTCGACTTGAACACGCTTAACCGGAATCGCTTCGACGATTCCGCCGAATCCTGGACGGTCTTTTAACCTTTTAGGCACGACGCGCCACTATAGTGGCTTCCGCGGATGTCTTCTTTCAGAACGACACGCCACTATAGTGACTTTCGCGGATGTCATCTCTCTGGACGACGCGCCGCTATAGTGGCTTGCTCTAGTAGCTCACTCGCTCATCGTTTGAACCAAATAATCGTCTTCATACGCATTGTTTCACACTTCTTTTGTCTTCGCATCGATTTACAACAGTCTACAGGGTGTCCCAAAAATGTCTCGCAATCCAGAAATGGCGGGTTCCTCGGATCGTTTGAAGCAACTTCTTCCTTTACAAAAATGTTCTCCGAGGCACCGTTAACGAGTTATCAACGAAAAGCAGTGACCAATAAGAATCGAGTACGGCTGACGCGAGGCGACCCAGCCAACCAGCGCGCGAAGCCCAGTTCCACTCATTGGCTCGATCGCCTCGCGCCAGCCGAGCTCGCCTCTCATTGGTCACTGTTTTTCGTTGATAACTCGTTAACGGTGCCTCGGAGAACATTTTTGTAAAGGAAAAAGTTGCTTCGAATGGCCCGAGAAACCCGCTACTTTCGGATTGCGAGACGTTTTTTAGACACTCTGTATATACAGTATCAGACTCTGTACAGTACACATCAGACTCTGCCGTCCAGAGAGATAGCCTCGCGCAGAATTCAGCCGTACCTAAAAGGTTAAACGATAGCTAGGGTGATAATCGATGGACCGTTTGCGGTAACAGCACGCGATTCGGCGCCTCGCTGAGGTACATCGAGCTGCCGATCGAGCTGATCACGCACACCGTCCTCCACGAGCTGGCGAACAAGTGTCCGAACCTGACACACATGCTGCTCGACTTCTCGACCGCCATGCAGCTGCACGACTTCTCCGAGATGCAGGCGTTCCCTACCAAGCTCAAGTACATGTGCATCTGCCTGTCCGAGGTGATCTTCATGGAGGGTTTCATGAGGAAGATCTACAACTTCATCAACGGCTTGGAGATCCTACATCTCATAGGTTCGTATTTCGTTCGAGACCTTTCACCTCCGAGGCATCGATCGTTCTCAATCGATTCTGTTCGATCAGGAACCTACGAGAAAGTCGAGGAGGAGGAGGAGGAGATCTACGAGGTGATAAACGTGCACAAACTGAAGTCGGCCACCCCGAACCTGAGGGCGATCAACCTCTACGGGATCAATTTCGTCGACGACTCTCACATCGACGCGTTCTCCTCGAACTGCATCCAGCTCGAGTGTCTGGCCGTGAACTTCTGCGCGAAGGTCACCGGCTCGACGATGAAGACCCTGTTCCAGAGGAGCCGGCGGCTCAAGTGTCTTCTGATGCAGGGAACGAGTACGATCGTCGAACGAGATCGCTCGATCGCGTTCGCGCGGCTCTATGGATGATCTCGCGAATCTTCTTGCAGATCTTCAAAGCGAGTACGTGATGCAAGTCGAGTGGGAGAAGTCGAGCATCCAGGAGCTGGACGTCACCGCCACGGACCTGTCCACCGAATGCTTGATCGACATGCTGTCCAGGATCCCCAGCCTTCGTTTCCTGAGCGCCGGCCAGCTGAACGGGTTCAACGACAGCGTGCTGAAGGCCTGGGCCGAGACGGGCAACCCTCGGAATCTGATCGCCTTGGACTTGAACAGCTCGGACAATCTGACCGACGACGGCCTGCACAAGTTTCTCTCGAGATACGGTCATCAGCTGTGGGGACTCTCTTTGTCCGGCATGCCTCACATCACCGATCAGCTGTGGCAGAGCGTTCTGCCGATCCTGACCAACGCCATGTGAGTCTCGCCGGTCCACAACCGTGACAGCGACGGTTAATTGCGATTGTAACATGATGCAAGTCCGAGTTCGGATGACGAGTATCCTCGCGAATCCAGTTTTCCGCCGTCACAATTGCCTCGCGTTGCGTCAGACTCCTAATTTGCGTATATGCTTATCCTTGTAATTCGTTCGATCAGGATCCTCGTAATGGGAACCAACGAGAGGCTGGGCGTGAACATCCACGTGGACCAGCTGATGGACGGAATCGCGAACAACTGTCCCAACCTCGAGCGACTGGAGCTCCGCTGGGATCCGGAGAACCTGCGGTTCTCGGACAAGAGCCAGAAAGCCATCGATATCCTGCGCGTGAAATGCATCAAGCTGCGTTGCCTCAGCCTAAGGTAAACTCGAACGATGATTCCCGAGCCGACGATAAGAGGGACGTCGATCAGTTTCATTGTGTTCCAGCGACGGAAGGTACTACGAGATCGTGAAGGCGAACTTCGAGCGAGCCGACAGACTGACGGTCGTGAGGACGACAACCTGCTGCAGGGTCTCCAACTACTACCTCCTGGCTAATTACAAGGATCTGGTCTTCAATTAAATTTCGCTTCTTTTTTTTATCTAATAAGTACCTATTTGTATATGAACGCGAGGGATTCGAGTACATGTTCCATACGATGCATTGCCGAGCGACAGAAATCCGAACCAAGTACAGTAATGTCTCCCTTACTGACGCTCGGATTGTCCACCAAAATTGGATAATTTGGGAAGAGATCTCCTCCTTGGGAAGAGAATCCTTCGCTTAGAATCCTTAGCTTGGAATCCTTAGCTTGGAAACCTCAGCTTGGAATTCTGAGCTTGGAAGCCTCAGCTTGGAATCTTGAGCTTGGAATTTTGAACTTGGAATTCTGAGCTTGGAATCCTGAGCTTGGAATTCTGAGCTTGAAAGTCTCAGCTAGGAATCTTGAGCTTGGAATTCTCAACTTGGAATCTTGAGCTTGGAATTCTGAGCTTGAAAGCCTCAGCTTGGAATCTTGAGCTTGGAATCTTGAGCTTGGAAGCCTCAGCTTGGAATCCTCAACTTGGAATCTTGAGCTTGGAATCCTCAACTTGGAATCTTAAGCTTGGAATTCTGAGCTTGGAATCTTAAGCTTCTAATTCTGAGCTTGGAATCTTGAGCTTGGAATCCTCAGCTTGGAATTCTGAGCTTGGAAGCCTTAGCTTGGAATCTTGAACTTGGAATTCTGAGCTTGGAATCCTAAGCTTGGAATCCTCAGCTTGGACTTGTGGACAATTTATATCTCCTCTTCCCAAATTGTCCATTTTCGTGGACAATCCGAGCGTCAATTAGGGAGACATTACTGTACACCAGATTCCAAATGCGTCAGGGGTACCCATGAGTTCTAATCCCTTGCGTTGACTCGTTACGAAGGCTTCGAGCATTCGCTCGTTTCATATGGAAAAATCATTCGATATTTCTATCGTCGGTATTCGACAATTACGATTAATCTTAGACACGCGCTCGATGCAAATTTTCTTCCTCGTGTAGGAATTTATCAACGTCGAACAAGCGCTAATCGACCTAGCAAAAATGTAGCGGTGCAAGGGGTTAATCGGTTCGTTTCAAAAGTTCGATATGTATCTCCTTTCGTTTTCTACCGCAACAACTAGCACTTACGCTATATCTGTGGAAACGTTTTGAAAGTCAATAAGCAACTTCAACTTATCGTATAGTCTCGGTAGTTGTATAACGATTTGTAAATACGACTATCTTTTATCTCCGGCGCAACGCGCCGCGTATCTCCCATTGTCGTTGCAATTTTGCAAACAGAGGATCCGAACATTTACGGTAGAGTCGACAAGAGAAAGGAATAATTGATCGCGCATGGGTACGCCGGTGCTAGAAGCGATGAGATCGATTCGACGAAGTTTGTAAACGATAAAATTGAATTGCAGATCCTGGACAAGTGGTGACGACGGACGGGAACCCTGTTATTCCGAGTATTAAGACAACGTGCAAGATACAAGATACAAGATACAAGATATATATTTTTATACACCGTTTTTGAGCCTGTACATAAGCGACGAAAACCGCCGAATGTTTCTCTACTGCCAAAGAACGATGTTCCATCGACCGCGCTTCCGTTTATCGAATTCGACGATCTCGATGTCGGTGCTGTAATTGTAAAATGAAATGAATGAACAAGAGTTTGACAGAAAAGCGGATGGTTACGATTCATTGTGTCGCGCGACATCAACGTTCCATTAAATCGCGGACGGTGAATTAACAAGCCGTTCGAGGAGCAATAACGCCGAGAGACCGCCACGCACACGGACACGGCCGTTCCTCGTATCGATTATTCGCTAATTTATTCATGCAGCCGTGTAGACGACTACGACGACGACGACGTCGCACTGGCCACGGCCGGTCGGTCGATTCGCTCGATTTCATTCTCCAGCCACATGCCAGACCCTTCGTTTATATGTTGCATTATAGTCGACGCAGAACCGTCGTGGCCGCCACGACTTTTCGCATGATCGCCGGAAGTTTGGTCGCCGGGCGTGTCTCCCAGTCGCGTTCTCCCATCCCGATCTTCCTCAATGTCCGACGTCGAGGAGGAGGTGGTCTCGAAGGGCCTGAAGATCGTCCTGATCGGCGATTCCGGATCCGGCAAAGTGAGTTCCCAAAGTGCGTCTCGAGGTTTTCGAGGGCGGGCCCCGAACGCTTCGCTCTTTCGGACACGCGTCTATCCGCGGAATTTTGCGTCGCGTTTTCACCGAGCACGATCGTCGATCCTTAAACTTACAGTGAATTTTGTCGGAAATCGACGATCTTCCGAAACGAGCGTTCGATTCGAGAGCTCGGCCATTCTCGGTAGAACGTAGGCGACGTGGCTATCGATTTATTTCTTTCGCGCAAAGTGGTCACTGCCACGATGTCGGACACGCACGCACAGGGTGGTGCACGCCCATCGCTCCCCGAACAAAGCGGAGAACTTTTGAAATTCCCAGTTTCTCTGCTACGCGGCGACGATGTAATTTCCGTTTAGGGGAACGCAGCCCTGTGGCGTAAACCAAATTGCATCTTCGTGCCGTCGACAGCCTTTCGCTGGTTCGTTAATTAACGAGCAAGCCGTTTCTTTGATCGTACCGAGCCGCCGCGCGAGAGACGGTCGCAGTTAATTTTACGGCGGTCGCGGCACGCGAATTTCAATCGACGTCGGAATCCGTGTTAGGCGAACGATCGAAATACTCCGCGTTCCGCAAGGCGGCTTTTCCGCGTCCCGATGCACCATAACTGAAATTCAAGGGTCCCCCGTTTAGACGAGCATCGCGCAGAAGTTCTGCCACAACGAGTTCACCAGGCAGTACACGCCGACGTCCGGGATCGACTTTTTCTTGAAGAATCTGAGCATAGGCTACTACAGGAACGTGAATCTGCATCTGTGGGACGTGGGCGGCCTGGCGCTTCATGGGAACATGCTCGATAAATACGTCTTCGGTGCTCACGTAAGGAGAAACAGAGATACAAGGGCGTCTAAAAAATGTCTCGTAATTCGGAAATTCCGGATAAAGGTTCCTCGGATCATTTGAAGCAACTTTCTCCTTAGCGAAAATGCAAACCGCGGCTTCGTTTATGAGTTATCAGCGAAAATCAGTGACCAATAAGAATCGAGTACGGCTGACGCGAGGCGGCCCAGTCAACCAGCGCGCGAAGCCCAGTTCCGCTCATTGGCTCGATCGCCTCGCGCCAGCGGAGCTCGCCTCTCATTGGTCACTGATTTTCGCTGATAACTCGTAAACGAAGCCGCGGTTTGCATTTTCGCTAAGGAGAAAGTTGCTTCAAATAACCTAAGGAATCCACCATTTCCGGATTGCGAGACATTTTTGGGACACCCTGTGTAATCGATTGGTTAGACGATCGGTTTTAACGAAAGAACGTCCTTTTCAGATCATTCTACTGGTTTACGATATAACGAACACATTCAGCTTCGAGATTCTAGAGGATTGGATCGAGAAGATCAGGAAAATGAACGACAGCTTCGAAGAAACACCACTGATGGCTATGGTGGGCAACAAGTGCGACATGGAGCACCAGAGATCGGTGAAAAGAGATCGGAGCCATAAATTCGCGGCTGACAATGGATTTCCGTCGCACGATGTGTCCGCCAGGACCGGAGAAGCGGTAAAAATGTTTCATTAACCGTTTGGCTGTTGACGTAGTTTTTCGGATATATTGCCAAAACTGCGGCACCGATTGCGCAAGTATGGGAGAAAATGTAAAACCCTTTTCGTACAATAAACTCGCTTGTATTGTTTCGCAACGACAAAAATTAAAAAATACCACTTATTTACATAAATTTGTTTCAATTAATTTTGCGAATAAAATTGGTAGCAAGCACAAATTCTAGTGATTTAGAGCAGCGTTATTACGCTCTCCGCAATCTTGGCATAAAAAAAGAGAGGAGCGCTGTCGCGCTCTTCGCATTTTTGACACAACATAAGAAGAGCGCGATAGCACTCCTGTTTCTTTTTTATGCCAAGAATGCGGAGGGCGTAATAACGCTGCTATAAATCACTAGAATTTCTGCTTATTACTAATTACCGCTCTTCGCATTTTTGACACAACATAAGAAGAGCGCGATAGCGCTTCTCGGCAGTCAAACGGTTAAAAGTCGATGCTCCGATAAGTATCAGTTCCATGTCGATGCTCTATCATCCCCCAACGATGTTTCCGCTATCGCGTCTAAAGGGTAGGCGGTCTCGTTTCAGGTGTCTTTGTGCATAGTGAATTTGGCAGCGCAGATTCTTGGCGTGCGACTGACGAAAACCGACCAGGACTACTATAAACCCATAATCATAGCGGAGATAGGCGACACGGTCGACATGCACACCATCCAGAAGGTGGTGAAGAGGATCCCGACGAAGAAGCAAAGCCACATACCCTTCCATCCCCATCTGTCGAAGTCGACGGTGTGCGTGTTGCAATGATGATCGATCGAATATTTTTGCAAACAGAGAATGATTTATCACGCACAGGACTGCGCGGGCACGTCGCGAGCATTGTACATAAGATGTTGAAAATATTTTTCGTAACTCTCTTCTATCGTTACCTGACGCGTTTTTCGCCCGCGACCCGGAGGTATTTCGGCGCAATAAAAAACCACTGGTGTCTTCGCAATAGGTTTAGAAACAGATTTATTTATCGATAGAATCTTACTACTCGTGGCAATTAATGTTAATAGCGAGATGACATAACAATGTTAAAAATACTTTTACAATAATCGGGATAATACACCGTACGTATTAATTGTTGGAACGTACATTAATATACATAATCGTGGCGGGCGCTACAATTCTCGAATCCGGTGATTTCAATGCTCGATGAATGCTCGATCATTTGCTGGAAACGAGGCCGGCGCGTCGTCGCGCGTTCGCTGCCGGAATTCGTCGAATCGAAGGAAATATCAAATGATCGATCGAATTACGCGGAACGGTCGAACGAATCTAATCGCCGAACTTTCTATACATTTTTATGAACCGCGAGTAGAACTTTCCCTATGATCTATTCGTCTCAATGGCACTAATCATGCAAACGTTACATGTACGAGATAACGTAAACGTACGCGACAAACATAAACGCAGATTCAACAAGAGAACAATGCGGTTCAACAAGAGAAAACGGGTCTGGAGGGAGGGCACAGTGTATGTGTGTGTGTGTGTGTATGTGTGCGTATACTCAACAATTGACTTCGCGAGGAAACATGCAAAATCGGAAGCATTCGTTACAACTGTGTCAATAAATACGGATAATAAATTAGTCGGTAAAAATCAGGTAAGGCAGGTATGCGGAACGATTGTGGTCAATCATAAAAAACGATTTCTGAAACAGCGAAGATATAAATCTGGTCAATAAAAAAAAAAATAAGAAAAGAAAAACAAACAAATCTCGTTTACTTATCGAACACGATCGGATGAACGAGGATAAACTCGCGGACGGTGCAGTCGTTAGAGATTGAAATATTGAGTAGAGTTCTATATATTAAACGTACAAGGTGCAAAATTATAGCTCCGGTAGATTTCATTACACCATCGATTGTTGCTCGTTTTTTTTAGAAAACCGAGACTCTTAACGATAAGTCCCAGCGCGTGTAGCTTATTTTAATATCGTCTTCAGTCTCTTTTTATGTAGCCTGTCCCGTCTCAGTGTTCCCGCGCGTTCGTTTTGGAATTCCATCGAGACGATCGAATCCGACAACCCGCTACCTATGATTGACATCGCGCGGAAACCCTGAGCCGGGACACCTTGTACGCGTGGTACCTACAATCTCTCAATGTTTACGATTAACTATAACTCCGAGTATTTCAGCGGTCTCCTCGGCCAAACGTTTTTCTCGAGCAGCTTCGTCTTGGCCTCCGAGAGTTCGGTGAACTTGTCGTTCAACGGGACCAGGTACGTCTCTATCCACTCTTGGATAGTGTAGTTGTCGTAGATGTCCTCCATGGCGTTTCTCATTTCTTTCTCGATGTAGATCAGCTCCATTTTGTGTCTGTCCAGGTCAGCGACCGCGCGCTCCACGTGGACGGGGCTGGAGAACGAGTGCTTGATATTGTAGGGTTTTAACCAGCCTTTGAAGGTGTTGTCTTGCTCCATCTTCTGGACCTCCTGGGTCAGGGAGAACAGCCGTAGAACGATGGCGTAGATCGACACGCCCTGGTAGCTGCACTTGGCCCAACCGTAGTGAGGTTCTGGAACAGTCAGCGAGATGATACCCTCGCAGCGAAGCGCTTGCATTACAGGTGTTGGCACGTTCACAGGGAACCTGTTCAGCTCGGGAGCCTGCAGAATGGCTAAGTTCACGGCCAACGATGGCAGAGCAACCGGCAGCAGCTCGCAGAGCACGCTGAAGTGGTCGTACCGCTGCCACCCGGTCAGCATCACACCCTTGAACGTGATCTGATTAGAATACCTGCTGATGATCTCTAACCACCGTTGATGGTTCTCCATGTGGTAAGCCAGGTCGGTGTAGTATCTGTCCGGCAAGGTGGCTCCTTTGAACGCTGTCGCCACCCAGACGTCCTTCCAGACGGTCGCGTAGCTCTCCCACAGCTGGTCGTTCAAGGTTGCTCCAGGATCCGTGGTATACTTCCAGATAACCGGCTCCACCATCGAGTGCAGTCCTCTGTTTATAATCTCATGCGGGAAAATCTCTCTGAACTCGTCGTCCCACATGAGGACGACGAGTTCCGGATACTTATCCTTAATATACCTAGCCACTTTGGTCACATGGTCCAAGAACAACTGCTTTTTGCCCCACTGTCTTTTGACCATCGTCTCCAAACACCTGGTACACTCTCCGATTTGGTATACCTCGTCGGCTCCTATGTGCAAGTGTTTTACGGCGGGATGAGCAGCCATCACTTGGTCGATCATATCGAAAATTAATGGAAGCGTTTTGTTGTAAGTAGGGCAGAGTACTTGGGGGTAATGTGGCACTTCTCGATAGTCCTTATACGCGTCTAACTTAAGTACGAACTCCATATGACCAAAGGTTTGTACCAATGGGATCACCGTGAGCTTGTTTTCCTCGGCTATCTCCTGGATGTCTTGGATATCCTTTTTGGAGTAGCAATTGCTGGCGCTGATGTTTCTCAGCTGTCCGTCGAACGGAAACATGTCTTCGTATTCTATTAACACGCCTGTGGCACCTAATTTTTTGAGCAAATTCAGCAGGTACTTGTAGTAACTCACTTTGGGAGGCGCACCCTTCAGATCCAAGTGCACAATCTTCTGGCCCTTGAACAGGGGCACGGTGTCCGCGTACGACTTGCCATAATTCAGGTCACCGAACAGCGTACCGCCCCCATTTTTCAGCTTGCTCAGTATGCGAGTCTCTATCTGCTGTTTCTTGGCGATGCTACGGGGGTTCTCCGTGAGGTCGCTCAACGGGTAGACCTCCTCTATTTTTAATCGCGGATTCAACTTGTTGGAGGAGATGTCCTCGACCTCGTTACTGAGAATGTGATAAGTAATGATCAGCAGAGTGAAGCTGATCATTACGATTACCATCAAAGAGGCCCTGCCTCTCAATCGCGTCATGATCGCTGGACCAACAGAACATCAAGATCGGATCACTAGATTATTGCTTTCGACTCGACCGATGCTCTCGTTATTCTCGACACGATTTCATCGTTCCTTTCACTCAACGCACTCGCATCAACGAAAGAGAAACCATCGGCGTTCGTAGTTTTACCTGTATTTTACACGGTGTCGTTTACGTCATTGCGATAATATTCCATTAGCTTCGAGTAATTATACCCTCGAATGAATTATTGCGAGCTTTTTTCTTATCACAGTTTAATGACAGAAATAGCAGACTGTCCCTACCGCTTTATAGTGATAAACGTTGCCGAGAAACAGGCCGGCCAACCGACTCCATTGCGATTCTAACCTCCACTTCGCAAGGTTTATTTTCAATCGACGTGTTCGCGAATAAATCGTTGGAGTATAAAAAATATTATAAATTATTGATAGTTGAGAATATTTACCGTAGAGTTAACGATGCCGCAGCGACGAGACCTCGTAGAAAGGATCACGAAATAATTCACTGAAATTGCTCGCATCGCGCGTGATCACATTTCAAATCATCCACCACAATTCGCCAGTACTACGCTCGTCAAGCAGTATCTTATTAAACGAATCAAGCTATATTATTATAACTATTAACATATATATAACATGATAAATATTTTTATTAACGTTAAAAATAAATATAATTATTAAACTTATTTTTAATGGAATATTTTCCGTTGGGTATATTATTACCATCCGTTGGTAAAACATATCGCGCGAATATTTGTATTTTGAAACCGAATGCGATGTTATTCGATAGACTAAGAATTCTATCCGCTTTCTAATAACGAAAAGTAAAATTAAGTAAAAGTAAAGTAAAAAAAAAAAGTAAAAAAAGTAAAAAAGTAAAAAAAAAAGAAAACCAAAGCCTGAATCGTGTTACACGACGCGCTTGACCTACAAATAACCAGCCGCCGTTCTGCATTGGATTTGCTTAATGAGATCCTTCGGAGGCATGCTAATTTCCGCATGATCTTGACTCAAGATCTGTTTTAAATTTGCCCCTAGCGACAAGATAACATCTTCTAAAAGATGCTTGTGTCGTCAACGTTTTTCGCGTTGTTCAATATTTGCCTCCGCGTCTGCAACAAATTCCGAGAAGTTACGTTGATCTTCTTACTTTTGAATACGTCTCGATGCGCTCCGGATGTTCCGAAAGTTTCATAATATAACCTAAACTTCCGGATGGTACGATCCTCCTCGCGCAAGAAACGCGTCCATCGTGCTTATAAAATCGCGAACGGACAGGGCGAAGGGCTGCAAAAAAAAGCGGTTTAACGAGAAAAGGGCTCGGCGAAACCGGAGATGCTCGCCTCGTGTAATCGAATCCTCCGCGACGAAATCTTAAATCGCCGGTCCTTTATCTCGTTTCCAGTATCCGCGAACCATCCAGTCACCCGTTACATACTTAATGAAGCTGACTCACGACTCTTTAGTTATGACGGGAGTAGGGGGATAATTCCGGACAATAAAGTTGCTTAATGATGACCCGCTGCGGGAGTTTGAACCACGCGGTGCTCGACACGCGCGCGTTTTTCTTCTTCGTCGCGTCGTTTGCTTGTCCTCGTCGATCGTGGTGATCTAGGTAAGCGGACACGTTGCTCAAAACAATTAGAGAGGATCCTACGTAAATGCTAAGAGTAAAAGAGTCGCGACGTATAATTTCGAATCGCCATGTTCCTGCGCGGTAGATCCTCGCTGCGCAGTTACAGACCGATAGGCGTGCTCGTGGGAGTAGAAAGGTCGTCGATCATTCAGGTGGGTCTCGCAGTTGCAGGCGAGGTTTCGGGAAGGAGGTACATACGGTAATGTCTCCCTAATTGACGCTCGGATTGTCCACGAAAATGGACAGTTTGGGAAGAGGAGATACGATTGTTCGAGCCTCGCGGCTCGTTTTTATAATTGTTGAAAATTGGTAATTATACAAATGAGTCGCAAGGCTCCAATTCGCAAGGCTCCTCTTCCCAAATTGTCCATTTTTTGTGGACAATATAAGCGTCAATTAGGGAGACATTACTGCAGTCGGATCCCTCCGAGGGGAAGCTAGATAACAACGGATTCCGTCGAGCAAAAATGGACAATTTGGAAGAGGAGATACGATTATTCGAGTCTTGCAGCTCGTTCTTATAATTGTTAAAAATCGGTAACTATAAAAACGAGTTGCAAGGCTCGAATAATAATATCTCCTGATCCCAAATTGTCCACTGGTGTTTCTAAGCTGAGCGTCAATTAAGGAGACATTTTTGTACGTCGCGCGTTATAATAAATTCTCTCTAATTGACGCTCAGCTTGTACACAAAAATGGACCATTTGGGAAAAGGAGATACAATTATGCGAGCCTTGCGGCTCGTTTTTGTAGCAACCTATTGCAAGGCTCGCACAATCGTACCTCCCCTTCCCAAACCGTCCATTTTTGTCTCCAAGCTGAGGGTCAATTAAGGAGATACAGGTTGCAGGAATTCGTGTTGCCTCCCTAATTGACGCACAGCTTAGAAACAAAAGTGGACAATTTGAGACGAGGAGATATTATTATTCGAGCCTTGCAACTCGTTTTTATAGTTACCGATCGTCAACAATTATAAGAACGAGCTGCAAGACTCGAAACATCGTATCTCCTGTTCCCAAATTGTCCATTTTTGCGGGCAATCCGAGCGTCGATTAGGGAGACATTACCATAGTCGGGTCCCTCCGAGGGGAAGCTAGATAACAACGGATTCCAAACGTCGAGCAAACGAAGACGATTCTTTCGAGTTATTATTATCGGTGACAAGAGACTCGTCCTCGGCGACCGGGACTACACCTAATCCACCGTATCCACCGTGTAGATTGTACATTGTACACAGTCCCGCTGCAAAACGCGTCAGCGTGATTCCGTAGCAACCGAACCGGGACAAAGACTCGCTCCGACGATTATTCAGAAATCATGACTCAAGCCCGCATATGTAGACGCTGCGCTCACGGTTGTTCGGTTACTCTTTTCGCGAATGTGTGAACAGCTGCGCGACAAGGGTAACAATCGGAGGAGGTCAATTCCAGCGAATCGCGAGCGCTCGATTCTCTTCTCCTCCTGTTGCTTACCAAGGAGGAGGACGTATGCGTTTCGACGGTCGCGGTCGTTTCGATTAGGCAACGCGCTACAAGGCGACTGCCACGCGTTCGACGATGAAATTCTGCGAGCGTGCGCAGGCTTTCGTTACAGCGCCGTCACACAGAGTGTATCTTTCACGGTTGATACGCTCCCGCGATAAGGCGCTATTAAAGCCGTCCGCGTGATACTTGCCGCAAAAACGGCTCCTGCAAATGTTGTAACAGATGTTGCTTTATCGAGCGCTGCTCCAAGATCTCTTTGACGCGCCACGTTATCGGGAGAACGACGCGGAGCGCGACAAGCTCGATGCTTTTTATTTCGCACGACGATCCTCGACTTTTACAAGACACTCGAGCGCCGTTCCAGCGCCTAATTTCTTCAATTGTCCGTTCGATCGGCCGTGAAACTCCGGTCGCCACTTTTTCTTTCGATCGTCGATCAACGTCGATTGCGAGAGGATCGGTCCGCGACGGAGGCGGAAGAACTCCTCGGTCGAAGAAAAAGGCGCAATTAACCTTTTTAGGTACGGCTGAATTCTGCGCGAGGCTATTTCTCTGGACGGCAGAGTCCGATATGTACTGTACAGAGTCTGATACTGTATATTCTGTCTGTATATACAGGGTGTCCCAAAAATGTCTCGCAATCCGAAAGTGGCGGGTTCCTCGGGCCATTCGAAGCAACTTTTTCCTTTACAAAAATTTTCTCCGAGGCACCGTTAACTAGTTATCAACAAAAAACAGTGACCAATGAGAGGCGAGCTCGGCTGGCGCGAGGCGATCGAGCCAATGAGCGGAACTGGGCTTCGCGCGCTGGTCGGCTGGGCCGCCTCGCGTCAGCCGTACTCGATTCTTATTGGTCACTGTTTTTCGTTGATAACTCGTTAACGGTGCCCCGGAGAACATTTTTGTAAAGGAAGAAGTTGCTTCAAACGATCCGAGGAACCCGCCGTTTCCGGATTGCGAGACATTTTTGGGACACCCTGTAGACTGTTGTAAATCCATGCGAAGACAAAAGAAGTGTGAAACAATGCGTATGAAGACGATTATTTGGTTGAAACGATGAGCCTGTGAGCTACCAGAGCAAGCCACTATAGTGGCGCGTCGTGCCTAAAAAGTTAACCGCGATGAAATTAATTGGTACCTCGGCGACGCAACGTTCCTCTCTTTCGCAACAGCCACGAAATCGTTCGTAAACAAAAGCGGGAATGTGCGTGTCGGTGCGCGCACGGTTTGCGATTTTTGCCGACAATGAGGAAACCTTGCCGGCGCGCGCTCGCGCGTGGACGGGTTTCATTAAAGGAAGGGCACGCGATCGCGGTGGGTCTCTTTCGAGTCCGCTGAAACCTCCGGAGCGGAGTCAACGTGACATTACGGTCAGCCGTGTGCGAGCAGTATGCGCGCGGACGTCGGAGAACGCGCACGTTCTTTCCTTTTCTCCGCGAGTCTTTGTTCGGTTCGCTGCAGTATCGTTCCGCCAGACCGCATTGTCCCGAAGATCGTGTTCCATCGGCGAGCCTTCCGGAGCATCTCGACCACCGTGGTTCGTTAAAAATGCAGTGACCGGGGCCGATCGTTCATCGAGGTTCGTACGATCCACCTACGTTCCCTCTTCGTTTTCGCTTCGTCGACGCCAGCCGAGAATGCGGGAAATCGCGTCGAAAGTGCGACAAGGAACGTTCGACGACGGTGTTCGAGTCGGGAAAAGTGAAAGGACCCAGGCTTTCCGCGGTGTCGATCTACCACGTGACTCGGTAGATCCGTGCGGCGGAACTGCGATCGATTTTCTCGTTCGTTCCCTCGATCGCTCGCACGGAAAATTCCCTCGCGGATCGCTTTTCCGCGCAGGGAACAGAGAAAAAAGCGCGCCAGCGAGCGGAACAGTGGCACCATTGATCGCGAGCGATCGCGAGAGATCGACGCGGAAAGATCCTCGCGGAATCGACGCCGCGAAACGCCGAAGGAATTCGGTGTTTTTTTTCGATAGCGTCGTTGCGCAATAGATGCTTGCATCGACGAAATTCGATGACCGAGGACCTTGCTTCGAGTACGTGTAATCGTGTTGTGTCATCCTATAAATATCCCCGATTCGCTTTCACATTTGCCGAAGTTCGTCTTTCGATTCGGACCGTGGCAAATTCTCGGCAGTTTTGTCGTTTATCGTCTCTACGTTTGCTCCGAAAGACAAGGACCGATCGCAGCTGTCGGCGAAAGGTCAACGAACACTCTGACAGTGTAAAAATCTACTTCAACGAATTTGTATTATTGCCTGTGTTTATTTTATCCACCTTCCTCAAAGCTTCCACATTTTGGTTCTACGACTTTCATTTTTGAAATTGTATCAAACCTCGGTGAAAGATTTGCTAGTTCGCAAGAAGGTATGGCGATCTTTACGTAATTCTTCAATTTTATCTGCAACATCTTTGGTTCTGTTCAAGTTGCCGTCGCTTGCATATAAATTATGCTTGTTGTTAACATCCGTTAACTTTATTCTGTCGAGTTGTGGGCTTAACGTTGCTTGAATTCCGTTAATTCCAATATTTTCATGCGATTTAGCTACAGCGTTCCTCTTATTTGTGTCCAATATAATATATATAATATATCGGTTGCGTTACGCTAATATGTACTTTATCATGAGATTCAACGGACATATATTTTCATCTGGAAGCGACTTACTTTCTAGAATGTTACTGTTAATTTGAGGCGATACGATTATTGTCTCATATTGTGATACTAGCGTTTCTTCTTTCGAGTCGGTTACGAACTTTCTGGAAGCCAAATTGTCAAATTCTGGAAACAACATTGTAATGTTTGGCTCCTCCATACATAATTGCTTGTCTAAAATATTACTTGCTGCATTCGTGTCGGTCTCTTCCAAAGACTGCGTTCGAGATGTATCTCTATCAACGTCACTTTCCATAATTTTAGGTGAGTTTTCAAATTTGTGTGTTGCTTCTATATTATCGTGCGAATCTCTGTTTTCTAAATGCAATATCTCAGGGTAAACATCAAAGTTTAATGCAAACTTCAAGTCTTCAACGTCAATCGGAAGTACTTCTTCGCTCTGCAATTCTATTTGGTTAAACTGTTTAGCGATAGCATCGATATCGTTGTCATCGATGCTCTCGCTTTTGTCACATTCATTTTCAGATTGTTTCGTGTTACTGGAATCCCCGAATTCGTTGTCATTGTCGCTTTCTGGTCTATCAAGTGATTCATTCGTAGACTTCTGAAAATATTTCATTATGTCCTTTGCTTCAACTTTTGTAGATAATTTTGGTTTAATATCTAATTCGACAACTGCAACGTCGTCGATTGTCTTCTCCGTTGTGTTTTTTACATTCGGCCTTTTTGTGCTATCTTTCTTCGCTTTATGAAAATATTTATTCATCTTTTGTTGAGCATTTTCTTTGGATAATAGCCGAAGCTCGCCCACAGTGATCTTATTCTTCGCCTTCCTTTGTCTCAAGTCACGTTTCGGCTTATCGAATGTGATCTATTTCCATCGGATTGTACCGATTGGGGTCGAATTTCTTTAGGAACTCTTAATTTAGCGACTTCAATGGATGCTTGTTCCAATGGTTTTTCATTCGTTGGAGACGGCGAAGTGATGGTTACAATTGGGATTTGCTCAGGACCCATTATGGATAGCTTCAAATCGCTATATTTTTTCTTCAACGTGTCACTTTCTAATTCTTTGACGTCATCCGATTCTAATTCCTCCGTAGCTTTGGCTAGAGCATCGGATACACATAATTCCTCGTACATTGTTTCGGTAGATTTATAAATATCGAATGAAGATGACGGTAACGATTCTCTACTGCGTTTTGAAAAGGAAGTTACCAGATCTGTGGAAGTTTCTCTGCGAAGGAGGTACCCTCTTCGGTGTCAGGCTACATTGCACTATCATAATTAGCCTGACTAAATGGAATAGCATCTGGAAGCATAATTCCTGCAAACGCTGTTTATCCGGTCAACTACGATCCTCGCGAACGAGCGCGTCCGCGTTTCAAAAACCGTGCGAAACGGTTCGATCGTTCGCGGCGACTATGTACGCGCGAATATCCGCAGTGCAGGTGCAGCAAACTCGCGCTGCTGTTCGAAGATCGCGATCCGCTCCCGACGATCGTCGCGTCCAGAAATCGCGACCGATCCGCGAGGAGAAAGAGGGAGGGGGAGGAGACCTCGCTGGTTCCTCGATCGTAAATGGCAAAACGACGCGAACAAGGTGATCGATTGAATCGCAGGCGACGGTCGCGCTGCTCGTAGAAGTGCAACGATCTACGTGACCGTCGCACCGCGACCCGTGAGCCTCGCATGACACGGCACGTTCGAAATTATCATTTCGCTCTTCCTGAAGCGTGAATACGTGTACGTACACGTACGTCCGTCGTCGCGCGAGGATTCACGCGAGGCCGAGCGTGAATTAAAAATAGTCGGGGACGGACAAAAGCGGCCCCCGGAATCCGCGGCATTCCCATGGAACCGCCGCCGTGATTTCACCGTGCAAGATAACGACGATCGCGCGGTGGGGAATCGCGGTGGCAACGCGAACGCGCCGATTACATGGAATCGTTATCGGTCGAAAGAGTCGTTAAACGGAGATTCTTTCGGCGGGGTTTCCCGATGACCGAACCGACCGCCGCGTTTTCTCGATTTTCGGCGACTGCAATGCTTTCGAATCGGTGATCAACGGACCGCGGATCCTTATATTATTATATATATTATATATATATAATTTTATATTATTTTATATTATTATATATTATATATCGGTAATAATAAATAATATATATATATATATATATNTCGGTAATAATAAATAATATATATATATATATATATATATATATATATATATATATATATAATATAATATAATATAATATAAAGATAATATATATATTATCTTTATCTTTGCGGGATTCTGATACCAGACCCCGGACCGAACTCGATCGTCCAGGCTCGCTCGGTCGGTTCTCTCGTTGTCACGTGACAATCGCAGAACGCTTTCGCAGTTCTTTCTGCAAACGCGCATAAATCGCCGCGGATCCTGTTGCGCGCTGATTGCTGGATCGCGGGTTTTACGCGTTGTTGATTATTCGCTTGCAAATAATTAAAGGCAGAGTTTTAGGTAAAAGTATATTTATTGAACACACGGAGACACAAGATCAAATATACAGGCTTGCTCGTAAGAGCTTAGAGACAACGAGTGTACTCGTAGGCTGCTCACAGACGACTAACTAAAAAAACCGCGGAAGACGCGCAAACTGTGGGTCGGAAAATCCTTAGTGGTCATAAATAACCAATCCGCTCTCGCACCGCGTGTAACGGACTTTCGAGTGAAAATTTCCTCGACTCGAGTCGACGCGCGTTTAGCGCTCGCGTGCCCTGCGGATGGGCCCCGAGGGCCGTCTTACCTGAAAAACGGACAAGGCCGTAAAACATACGAAGTACCCATTTTCAGTAGCATCGAAAATGCCAGACATTTACACGCGTTTATGGTAAAAGCGAATAGGTGAGATATAAAGTCGTCACCATTATCATCGACGAATCGTCGAAGGAAGAGTCGCGCTTACGATATATTTTCGTTCGATAGGAAAAAATTCCTTTCGCATAAAATTCCGCAGCCACCGCGGAAGTCTGCGGTCCGAGCGGAGTCGTTTATCCTATTACCACGTGGCGATCGTAACACGCTCCGGAGGGAGGGAATCTCAGTTTGGTGAATTAACGACGCAGTTTTGCCCGGCAGAAGTGAAAGTAGGAATGGTCGATGGTCGGTGGAAGGTAAAGGGGACGCGGTCGCAACGAAACCATAGGTGCGAGCGACGTTTGAACGGCGTAACGACGGTTTTAAGTGGAGCACGTGAGATTCGAGATCGATATTTCGCGTTAGGGTCGACGCGATAAGCGCGCTCGTCGGGGGCGCGTTACGTCGACGACGGCGTTTCGTTGGCGGACGAGCCAAGAGGAAGAGGCGCGCGCGCTATCCGCATAGCTGTGTCCGCTGCTGGCTGGCCCTTATCCAACGACTTACCGCGAAAGTGGCCGAGACGTCAGACTTTCGAAAATGACGTCGCCAGAGGAGGGTTCCGTTAACGATCATCCAGCGCGACCTGACGGTGACGCACGCGTTCCGACGAATTAGCGTCGGAACCGTTCGCGGGAGATTCTCGGCCGACTCCCACGACGGCGAACAACCACGTGCGTAGTCCCGCGTCGGACACCGATCCGCGAGCACTTCTTACTTCTTCGATCTCGATCGCGCCGTGAAAAAACGGTTCTGGCGATGCGAGGACGCGTCGATCGCGCACAACGCGTTACGGAACGATCTATCACTCTTCGCGGCGTTTACTCTTTGCAACGAGCAACAACCACAGTCCCTGCAGTCAGTTCGTCGGTGTACATGCTTGTTTTTCTCGGTCTCGTTATCGCGTCCGGTGTTTCTTATGTGTACGACACGGTGTAACTACTTTTAGTTCGAAGGTGTGGCAGTGGTCGTTGTAAACAAACTCGGATAGAAAGAATCTCTTTCGATAAAGTAGCGAGCAACCGGGCGAGAAGCGTAAATTCGGTCTCTGAGAGCGTCGACGCGAGTTGTTCGAGGGGACTGTTCTTCTCTCTGTAACCGGACTCTCTGTTAACGGGCCACAATAATCGCTGCTCGGTAAGTTATCCGGGAATGAGCACCGCGATAAGGCGGCGCTCTCCCCAGTATTTCCGAGATTCGTGGAAAAACGAGATTAGTCACGGACGCGTTTTGACAGGCGCGGCTATTTCGAACCCGGCTCGACCACCGCGGGGGGGTGCGACCGATATATTTTTAGGGAAAGACGATGTTATTAACCCCCTCGGTGCTTCGGGCACACTTCGATAGAAATACCCCTTTCCCGACTAAATATAGAAGACGGCCGAATCATTCGCGGCACTTCTCTCCTCGAGCCATCGAAGCGAATCCCGTGTGATTCATCGATGCCAACGCCTAATTGGTCGGTTATGAGTTCGAATAACGTGCGCACCAGGCTCCGTGGTCTCCTGTAGTCTCCGTTTCGGACGGTTAACCCTTTTAGTGCCGAACGAAAGCGACGGGTGTCTGTGGAAAGATAACCGGACGAATTCGACGAATTTACTATTAGTTTACTTTACTATTAGTTTAGTTTTACTATTAATTTATTATTAATTTACTATCAGTTTAGTTTCCAAACTGAGAATAATATTGAAAAAATTCAAAACGCAGCGTACAGGGGAAGAATGGGAGAGTAATGTAATGGCGATTGTATTTCAATGTTTATTGAAAATTACATGAATAACAGCGATATAAACGGCGATAGAAAACATAGAAACAAGTTTCTCTTTTACAAACAATATTTTCACTAATCAGCGTTTTATCAATTTTATGTAGCTCACGCGGTATAAAATATAAGTATCTCATTTTCGGTAATTTTTAATAAAAAAAAAATACTAATTGTATTTTTATCAAAACGTTGACAGTTTTCGAACACTGACTGCTCTTTAGAAGGGTCAATAAAGACTGAAAGAAAAAGATCTTAGCCACGCCGTGTCACTTGAGCTGTCCGATAACTATTATAAACATCGTAAAGATTGCGATTACGATCCCCAAGAAACTATGTATTCCCTATCGAAGGATATCCCGTGACCCGTTTCTACCTTATCGCTCCGACATATGAGCCGTTTATTTTGAAAGTGGCATAAGTCACTTTGCCGTAATGAAAAGCGGTGATTTTTTAATGTTTATACGAAATTATTTATACTGAGAGAAATATCAGTATCCTGAGATAACAACGACGAGAAGACGACGATATATCATCGTTCGGCACTAAAAGGGTTAATATAACCTTGCAATATTTTCACGAGTCTGACTCGTGATGAAAATTTTAGGCGAAACTTGAACGTCACGAGTCAGACTCGTTGTTTAATTTCATGCCAAACGCGGATATCACGAATCAAACTCGTTATCGATATTTCAGACCAAACATGTATATCTTGAGTCTGACTCGAGTCTCAATCTTGGGTCAAGGTAATATTATATATCAATAATATAAATAAATAATATAATAATAATATAATAAATAATATACAGGGTGTCCCAAAAATGTCTCGCAATCCGGATATGGCGGGTTCCTCGGATCATTTGAAGCAGCTTCTTCCTATACAAAAATTTTCTCCGAGGCACCGTTAACGAGTTATCAACGAAAAACTGTGACCAATAAGAATCGAGTACGGCTGACGCGAGGCGGCCCAGCCAACCAGCACGCAAAGCCCAGTTCCGCTCATTGGCTCGATCGCCTCGCGCCAGCCGAGCTCGCCTCTCATTGGTCACTGTTTTTCGTTAATTACTCGTTAACGGTGCCTCGGAGAACATTTTTTGTAAAGGAAGAAGTTGCTTCAAATGACTTGAGAAACCCGCTACTTTCGGATTGCGAGACATTTTTGGGACACTCTGTATATAACATATATAATATTATAAATAATCTCCGACACTCGGGCTCCGCCGTTCAGTTCCTTTGTCGACCATTCGGACGCACGGGTTTGGCACGGCTTTTTCCGAGTTTCAGCGTGGTGCAAGGGGNCAGGCCAAACATCTGTATCTCGAGTCTAACTCGAGTCTTAATCTTGGGCCAAGGTTATTTTATATATAAATAATATAATAATATAATAAATAATATAAATAACATGTATATAACATGTATAATATTACAAATAATCTCCGACACTCAGCTCCTTTCTAGACCATTCGGACGCACGGGTTTGGCACGGCTTTTTCCGAGTTTCAGCGTGGTGCAAGGGGTTAAGAAGCATAGAAGAAAACTATACTAATGTCTCTCTAATTGACGCTCAGGTTATCTTCAAAAATGGACAATTTGAGAAGGGGACATACGATTATACGAGTCAAGACGGTTCGTTTTTATAGTTACGAATTGTCAACAATTATAAAAACGAGCTGCAAGGCACAAATAATCGTATCTCCTCTTCCCAAACTGTCCAGTTTTGTGGACAATCTGAGCGTCAGTTGGGGAGACATTACTGTACTTATATTAGTTTGCAGAGGTTTGCATCCGCTAAAACTGACGCTTTAATATCGAAGCGTGCAGTTCGCAAGTGGAAAATTTAGATTCCCAAAAGACTAAACTCGGGGGCTTCGGTTGTAGAAATATCCGTTTTGCAGTTATCGCGGAGATGTTCGCGATATTCGGTCAGCGTAGTATAAATCTCTCGAGCGTGACGTCACAAGATAGCCGCCGCTAATAGTTTTTCCTAAATATCGAGAGATTTAGAGTTCGAATCGTTAAGATCCAAGGGGCCCGAAAGTAATTACGAGTCGCCTCGAAAGATCTAGATACGTACAGTAATGTCTCTCTAATTGACGCCCGGATTGTCCACGTAAATGGACAACTTGGAAAGAGGAGATACGATTATTCGAGCCTTGCGATTTATTTTTATAGTTATAAATTGTCCACGATTATAAAAACGAGCTGCAAGGCTCGAACAATCGTATCTCCTGTTCCCAAATTATCCATTTTAGTGGACAATCTGAGCGTCGGTAAGAGAGACATTACTGTATTCGGTCGGGTACGGTCAAACCACGTGTACAGATTATCGTCGCCGGACCGCGGATTTTACGCATTTACGACAAGAATGAGTAGATCGAGTGAAAAACGGTTAAATCGTTTAAAGAATTTCAAAATACCGTTGCAAATGATTCTTATTTTCCATAACAATCTACGATCGATCAAAAATAAAGATATCTAGGAAGTTATCATTCGCAGAAACGCTCCTTAATTGCGATTCGACAAAGAGTCTCGGCAATGTCATTCGTCGGATCTGTTACTTTTCCTCTCGTTCCTAGCGTCGCAGCAATTTATCTAATTCATTATTACTATTCATTTTACGAGCTTTGCAAGCTCTTTCGTAGTACAGTCAGAGATACGTAAAGTTCGAAGAAACGGCAGAGAAATGTCGAAAACATCCAAATGGTCGCATAATTCGTTCGCAGTTCTAGCCATCGCAGTTGCACCGTTTTGATGCCCTAGAAAAGTTTTGCTTCCGTCGATGCTAAAGATTTCGATGTTACGCAGTGTCTTGGACGATGCTTTCGGCTTAAGGAGTTCTAACATGGGCGAACGATCGATCGTGCCGTTTATGCTTTCGAATGAAAGAAAACAGCAAATCCGCGACGACTTTTCCGTGCTGGAGCGTAGACGCGCCCTGGTCGAGCTAAGAATAGGATCGCAGTTGTGCGAGAAAAGAGATGCGTTGTTCGTTCGTTGCATTTAAATGTAACGATCATTCGAATATTCCGAATTATATTATAATAACGGATCGACAGGATCCGTTAACCGCGGTACGAGGGTTAACCTTTTCGGCACGACGCGCCACTATAGTCGCTTTCGCGGATGTCATCTTGCTTGCTCTAGTAGCTCTTCCTTTGTCTTCGCATCGATTTACAACAGTCTACAGGGTGTTCCAAAAATGTCTCGCAATCCGGAAATGGCGGGTTCCTCGGATCATTTGAAGCAACTTCTTCCTTTACAAAAATGTTCTCCGAGGCACCGTTAACGAGTTATCAACGAAAAACAGTGACCAATAAGAATCGAGTACGGCTGACGCGAGGCGGCCCAGTCAACCAGCGCGCGAAGCCCAGTTCCGCTCATTGGCTCGATCGCCTCGCGCCAGCCGAGCTCGCCTCTCATTGGTCACAGTTTTTCGTTAATAACTCGTTAACGGTGCCTCGGAGAAAATTTTTGTAAAGGAAAAAGTTGCTGCAGATGGCCCGAGGAACCCGCCACTTTCGGATTGCGAGACATTTTTGGGTCACCCTGTATATACAGTATCAGACTCTGCCGTCCAGAGAGATAGCCTCGCGCGCAGAATTCAGCCGTACCTAAAAGGTTAAAGTAAAAGGCGATGGTCGGGCGCGTTGGCAAGCGTTGCACGAGCGCCCGTCGAAGATCCAAGGGGGTTAACCGGCGCTAATCTGTGCCGGGTAACGCACAGGCCGTGGATCGTAAAGTGTTAGGTATAAGAGCAGGTATGGCCGGGTATAAAAGTCGAGTTGAAAAGGCGGCGATCGTGATTCAGTATGTGGGAGAGAAGAGTCGCGGCCGAGTTGGGTGTCGGAACCGTATATATAGCTCGAATAACAGGGGCATTGGCACGCTTATGTTCGCAGAAACGACATGAACAAAACGGAGGTGAAGATCGTCCTGAGCGCGGAGCCGGCGCGGACGGCCTCGGGCGTAATTCACTCGCACATACCGGTGCCGAGGATACCGAGCGCGATTAAGGCCCAGGAGAGGTGTCCCCCGGCCCGGCGCGGGTCCTTCGAGAAGCTGTCCAGAGGCGTCTCGGTGGCGGCCCAAAAGGCGTCCTTCGAGAAGCTCGACGCTTCCGTTCAGCTGCGGCCGCGGAACAACGTTTTGTCGGCCTCGAGCATCGAGGTGCGGCACGCTCCCGAGGAGAGGGCGGCCTGGAAGACCAGCTGCGACTCTGTGCCGAAATTGACTCGCAGCAACAGCATCGAGAGCAAATGGAAGAACAAGTACGAGGAGTCGGAGAAGAGGCGGAAACTGTTGCTGCAGAAGAGCGAGGCCGGTAATCGACGATTCGTAAGAAAGTTACGCGGGCGTGATCTGATCGCCGCGACTCCGCCGGGCTCTAAGGTCGTTTCGAAACTTCATCGTGATTTCGTTAGACGTCGTCGACGAAGCGACGAAACGGTGACTTTTGCTATCCGCTGATTCGATTACCCTGCCGCACGATACGTTGCGGAGACGAGCGCGACGATCTCGCGAAAACGCGACCTCGACACCCTCGAGATACGGATTTCTTCGAGACCGTGCCATTTTCTGGAGCAGTTTTTAGTTCGCGTATACGTTAGTTTACCGAGACGATCGAATGCTAGGAGCTTCCGAACGCGGACCACCGAGTAGAATATCGCGCGTCGCAGTTTCTCGAGTTTCTACGGTTGCGACTTTAATTCGAGATCGATTCGCCTTGGCAGAGCCCGAGCCGCAATCTATTGATCTGTTATTGTAAGGACGCGCTCTCGATGGTGTCTGTGTAATGGACTTACGTAAAGAGACGTCGAGCCGTCGACGAGGATACACGGCGAAAGGGAAGCGGTCGACGCGTGATTATAGTTCACGGCCGATCATCTGCGATGCAACTTGACCATTATTCGGACGTGATTCACTCGTGCATGCGAAACGACCGCCGTGACGTTTGATTAGTCAGCAGGCGTACGCGATAGTATTATAAATCGATCGGAATTAAATGTCGCCGGGGTTACGCGTAAGAAACATGTAGGATCGATGCAGGCCGCATACGCGACGAACGATCCGGTCAAATCGATGTTCTGGGATTTCAGTGAGCAAGGACCATGCCGATCTGGAGAAGAAGTTCCAGCAATTGCAGAGGCAAAACAGCACGCTGCAGACGCAGGTGCAGGAGAGAGAGCAGAAACTGCAGAAGATGCGAACGGGTATACTGATTTTTTTGTTCGCGGAAACTTCGGGGCGGTTTTTACGAGACAACATAGCGTTGTATACCGATGTAATTCTATGTCAAAAAGCTTCCTCTTTTACAATACTTTCGCCGCACGAATTTAGAACGAACGCGTACATAGTACATATATATATACAGTAATGTATAATTAATATAATATTAATGTAATTAATTATTAATTAATGTAATACTGTAATATTATATTAATTAGTGTAATACTGTATACATAATATAATTAATATATTAATGTAATGTATAATTAATATAACACTGTAATATTATATTAATTGATATAATACTGTAATATTATATTAATTAATGTAATACTGTATACATAATATAATCAATATATTAATGTAATGTATAATTAATATAATACTGTAATATTATGTTAATTAATTTAATATTGTATACATTACTGTATACAGTAATGTCTCCCTAATTGATGCTCAGATTGTGCACGAAATTGGACAATTCGGGGAGAGGAGATAGTTTTTGACAATCGATAACCATAACAAACGAGCCACACGGCTGGAACAATCGTATCTCCTTTTTTCCAAAATTGTCCATTTTTGTGGACAATCAGAGAGCGTCGATTAGAGAGACATTACTATACCGTTTAACGGAATACAACGGCGAAGGTAGCTTTATCGTTAATTACGACGACGTTTCCGCAGTTTCGGAAGCGGTGTGCAAAGAATACGAGCAGCTGAAGCATCAATACGACGTCGAGACGGGGGCGATGCACAAAGCGATGCAACAGGCGTCGCAGGTAAAAACCAAACAGCGGTTCGTCCTTTTGCGCTATCTTGTTCGTGATTTATCAACGGCCGGGTATCTTTGCAGTGGTACAGACAGAACCGCGAGCTGAAACGAAGGTCGCAGATCATAACGCAGAAGCTGCAGCAAACCAACTCGGACGGATCGTTGGATCTCGAGTTGTCGGACGAGGTCGACTCGAACTTCGAGGATGTCGATCAGCTTCGTGAAACGGTGAAAGGTATTCTTTTTTATATCTTGCCCGTTGAACTTGTCCCGACGAAGGATCGAACGAGAACCTTCTTTCAGAACTGAGCAAAGACATAGCCAGGCTGCAGACCGAGTTGCATTCGGCTAGGCTGCAAGAGTTCGAGGCGCAGGAGCAGGTGATGCATTTGACGACGCAGTTGGACGAAGAGAGGAATCTCAGGCAGAAATGTATGCGACAAGAATTTTGATAGACGATGTTTTTTTTCTCGGGGAAAACTGATTGATATTTTTACGTAGACGAGGAGAAAGTGAACGAGATGAAGGTGCAGAAGGAGAACATGGCGAGGGTGACGAAGATGGTGGCGGAGGAGGTGCAGGCGTTGAAGGTGCAATGCGATCGCGAGAGAGAGAACGCGAAGATAATTAAGATAGAGGCGGAGAGGGTGAGTGAATTATTTCACATACCGGATGTTCTTGCACTCTTGTTGTTGTCTCAACGATTATTTTGTTTGCGACAGGCGATAAAGGAGAGGAACGTGCTGGCTCATCAGAGCGCGCTCCTGATGGCCGAAGTTGGCGATGACGCGAACGGAAGGCTGCTGGCCGTTCTTCAAGAAGTGGAGTCGCTGAAGAGACTGCTCGAGGAGGAGCAACAGAGTCACGCTTCCCACATACAGATGCTGGAAGAGAAGCTGGAGGAGAAGGAATCGAACGTGGAGTTCGAGATAGTGGAGGAGAAGCTGAAGCTGGCGGAGTCCGAGCTGGACGTGGCGACCCAGAGGGCCGAAAGGGCGGAGAAGTCGGTGGAAGAATTGGAGAACGTGATCGAAAGTCTGAAGACGAAGATCGGCGAAATGGAGAACAAACTTTCGAAACCTCCTCCGCCTCCTCCACCCCCGCCGCCGATGTTCTCCAACGGCGGTCAAGCGTCGATCAAATTGCTGACGAAGGAGAAGATGAATTCGGAGCGTAACGCGGTCGCGGACATGGAGAACATGCTTGGGATCGCGAAGAAGACGCCGACGGTTGCTCAACAGCCAGGTAAATCGGATCTCTGGGTCAGCGCGGTAACGTTTGAAATTCGTTCGATGAAATTTCATTTTTATCCCTCGTTTCAGCCATCGACGACATCATCAACCAGATCAAAGGAGGACGATTCACCTTGAAGCAGACGGATGTAAGCGATTCGATCGATATCTTTCTTTTTGTCGAGCGATTAACCCCTTAACTTGTACGCTCGAGTTAATTCGAGCACGCTAAACAGGCCAAACTGTGCACACTAGAGATAATTCGAGCGGTTGTATTTTATGCTGCTATAATTTCTCACACTCGAATATAATCGAGAATTGAAAATAACTTTGCTTTGTGAAAGCAAAGAAAAAAAATCGTTCTACTGATATTTATCATTTACATGGGATTGTAAGCTATAACACTTACTTATTCGAGAATAAAATATAGCCTTTTTCCATGGAACAAAAGCGCGGTATATCAAACTTCTCCACCAAAAATTGATTTTTTTTAACCGATTTTTTTCAAAAAGACTGTGCGTTAAGGGGTTAATATGCAACGATTGATTACAGAAACAGAGAGAAGAGCAGAGGAGGAGACGGCAGGAAGCGGAAAGCGCGCCTCCAGCGGTGTCGGAGATGCTGAACATCCTAGGCACCATGAGAAGAAGAGCCAAGCCCGTGAAGCAACCTTTCCCAACTGCGGAAGCATCCCCCTAATTGATACTGTTAGTACCGAAACGCGATATTGTTAACGCGAGCCTTGAAATGGTGCCGCTTGTTAATGCGATCTTCGAATCAAAGAGTTATTCTATCAGAGTAAGGTTTACTATGACGTTATTTATTTAGTCGTAAATAAATTTTTTACCATCGAACGAACTATATATATATAGGCTTACGTATTTTTCTACGTGTAAAGCGAAGCGAATAAATGTGTCGGTTAAGGGAGAAGTGACGGAAATCGTTTGCGGTAAGCGTTGTGAAAAAAGGTGTATTGTAAAAAGCTGGTTACATGTACTGTATATGTACGATACAGTTCATTGTACAAAAGATATCGCAGATGTTATTCCTGTGAAGCGTCCACCTTCCTTGAGTATACCGAAGAAAGGATTTTGTAGGAGTACGAATCATTGTTAGTCCCTCGAGTCGAGTGTTTAGGTTTATTTTTATAAAAAGGACACGTGCACTTTGATTTTGTCGATGATCTGTTGGAGCTTGTCCGCCTCGAACAGAAGCACCCTTCTGTAAGGAATCATTTCATTGTCCGTTTCGGTCCACGTGCCCGATAAACCACTGTCCGAGTCCTTTTCTACGGAGAACTCGAAGCTGAAAGTAGCCTCTTCCGCGAAAATCTCCTCCTCGGGGTTGCTCCATAGTATCGAAGGCTCCTCCGTGCCGTCTTTCTTTTTGCTTTTCGATTTCTTGCCGACCTTTTGATCCTCCGTTTTGTACAGCTTGCAAATCAGTACGTAATAAGCGAAACTAAATGGCATTCTTTTGCTGGCCGCTCTCTTAATCTCGGACGTTAAGTTTTCTAAAAGCGGCACGGAGATTTGTGCTGGAATGTTCACGAATCTTTCGTTGATTAATAAGCCTAGAGCTTCGGAGTCGTTCTCCAGGACTTGCTTTATCATGGCATTGGTTGCATCCGTCGCGTGTTCGTTGGCTAGCTGCGTCAATAGCTCCCTGAGTTGTTGAACGCAGAGATGATTCTGAAAGAAATTTTCGAATTGTACGTTAAACGATTTGTATAGCTGTAATATAGTTTCCAAGGCGCTTACCTGTCCACTGGACAAATTAATTATCGTGGTAACACCAAAAACACCGTTAATATCGTTCTCCTCGTCGTCGGAGTCTTCTACGTCGTCGGATTGCTTGACGACAGAGCCTACATAGTTCTGGGATATTATTAAGTCCGTGAGTCCACCCAAATCGATATGTGCTTTCAGAAATAGTTGCTGTAAAAGCGTCTTAATTCCATGATAGTCCGGGTCTAATGGATTTCTTCCCTCGAAGTCCACTTGTATTTCCATTCCCTGTTTATACAAATGTCAGAATTAAGTCGCAGAAGTTTATCCGCCATATGGCCCCTTAAAAATTACCTTAACGATACTGTCGCTTAAAATGTACTTAACTGAAACGCAACACGCGTGTCAAAACAAGCAATCCAATTTCTTATCGCACTAATGTTGCATCGATAAAGCCTGACCTTCGAAACTATCGAGAAATATCTTTGTTCCGAATACTTTTTCATAAAACAATTTTCGAATGCGTTCCATGCTGCGTCTACAGGATGACATCCACGTTAATTGCAACGATAGCTCGAGCAGTGATTTTCCAAGTCCATACTGTATTACAACTTCCGTGACACTTTAGAGACGATCGTGATCCGTGTATCACGATTTGAATTGTTGCAAATGATTGTGTAAAACAAATGCGTATCAATGACCGCATGTTTGAAAGTAGGGTTAAGCCGAAACAGTGGCGATTTACGAGGACACAAACGGTAGATACGATTTAAACGAACTTACCTGCTCGGCCACTGTTTCATGCTCATTCTCTTCGCTGTTAGACGAATTGAGATCATCGTCGTCGCTACTCCTGTCTTCCGTATTTCTTTGAATATCACGCTTCTTCACCGGAGCAGCCATTGTCACGATGTGACGGGTTCAGCCGGATCCTGACCACGTGACACACGCCGTCATTCTCAGCACCTTTAAAAACAACAAATGGAAAATCAATACACAATGGCTCCGAAGTTTCCTAGGTTACCCTCGAACGGCGGGCAATTTGATATTCACCGTCGCGTGGAAATGGCAACAGATTTCATCTCGATTCCGACGAGCTACGATCTATGAAAATTCCTTGCAGCTGTTTAAAAAATTCGTTCACAAACGGAACTGTGGCTTCCGTTATATTTCGTAATAATATATTATTTGTATACTACAATTTACATGCTTCTGGCAATCGTCGTTCGTGGGATGAGGGCGTTGCGATTATTTATCAATTTTAAATAAGACGATCTACAAAACCATAGATTTTTCAAAATACAATCGGTATTTGGAAGTTGATGAACGGAAGGATCAATCTATTAGGTAAAATAATAATGTTTACACTTATTTTTAAGTGGTCGTTACATCGATGTATCTTAATTTATCAAAGCGCGAAAAGTAGAACATATATTTATCAAGAGTTGATCAAAGTAACAATGAAGTCACGTGTTTGCAACAGTGTTTTCAGCTGTATTATAATATATTGTATATATTGTATAATAATTTATATAATTATAATATATTATTATAGTATATTATATATTTATATAATATACTGTATTATAATAATAAACTATATATAATTACTGTATTATAATTTATATTATAATTCATCTTTCGATTATTTTTTAATAAAAAATATCGTATCAAATGTTTCAAATGTGTATTCAATTATCGAGAGAATAATTTCTATTTTTTTTTTTTATTTTAATGTCGCATCGACTGCAAGGTAATTAGCAATAGAGAGGATAATTCTTGGAAGGCGTACGAACAAATAACGATATTGACTGCAACAATATCGGTCTAAACAACGCAGTCGTTTCCACGCTCAAAATGCATCGAGAAACGTCGCAACCTATAGATGGAAGAACGCGATAAATATTCATATATTCCGTCGCGTAGGTATAAGGGGAAACTGTCGCCGCGGCAATTAGCCGCCACGTTTTCCCGCAGATGGCGCGCCGTGCCCAATTTCCCATGCTGCATCAAGGTGTATAAGTCACGGCTCATTACCCGCCCAACCGTTTAGTGCTCAGTGTCCTGCTAATCTATTCAACTTTCCCGTATCGAACGGGCGGATCCGAAACCGACAAAAAACGTGAGTGATCTAGCAAAAGCTTCTTGCCACGGCTGTCCCACGATCAAAATTATCGCCGAAAATCCTCGAAATACACGAACGATTAGAAATTTCGCTTTCACCGATGTCGAAAGCGCCCGCCATTTGTCATGCGCCGTCATTGTTCCCGCGCGGGCCGATCTATCCGTAAAATTAGCAATTAGAAAACCGAGTTCGATCGAAGCGAAAAATTCGAACGAACAATCACCGGCCGGAAATAAAGAAAACGCGGACTTTTAACGTGGACGAGGGGGTTGGTCGGGGAGACGATCATCGAGTCGCGGAGAATTTAAATTTCGAGCGGCAGTGCCGTGACGAGGGCCCGGCGCCGTGGTCGTCACTGCGACGCGAAAATTCGATTAAAGTTCACGCGCATGGGCCGAAGGAAATCCTGTTTTCTCAAATTTCCCGGAGTCTGTCAGGTGGCACCACGGCGTTCACCGGTCCGCATACGGAGCAGTGCGATCGGTTTTTGTTAGGTTAAAAAATAGCGAACCACGGGAAGCCCAGACTCTGTCCCCGCGTAGAGATAGGATTCTTGTCAGACGAGAAAAGAAAGCCGACACATGGTGGCCCCCTTTGTCGTGTTCTACCCCCGTGAGAATTTCGTGAGTGCTTTGAGCTGTGGCGGGCGGTGAGATGGCTGTCTCTTTCTCTCTCTTTTTTTCTCTCTTTCTCTCTCTCTCTCTCTCTTTCTCTCTCTTACTGTGTCTCTCTCTTTCTCTCTGTTTCCTTTTCTCTTTACCTGGTGTTTTTTTTCTAGATGTTCCGTTGATTAGATGTTCTCGATTAATGTACACATTGGCGACAAAATACATGCCTCGCCGCGATCATACCATACCGTGTCCTCGATGCAGAAAATGCACCGAGGTGCAACTTGGATCAGCTCGACTCCCCGGAACCGGAAATTCTTTCGGAAACGGCCTGGCCTCTCTCGCTGTTCGCCTTTCGAGTACAGTGGTCTCGAACTTGGCCGCTATCGAAGCACCGAGTCCCCAGAATTGAACCGGTCCAGCTCTGATCTCCTTGTAAACTCGTCGGCGCCAGTTACCCGAGCCAGCAATTTTTTCGATCGACCCACGAGGAACCTCGGACTGCGGATCTTTGTGCATTCACAGCCTCTTCGGCCTCCCGAAGCTCGGCGCCGTAAAGTGGACTAGCTTCTTTGGAACACGAGGCAACCCCTTGATAGAAGGACAAATTCTTCTCGTTTGCGATCACGTATCGGCCCGGAAAAAGTAGCATCTTCGATCTCTTAAGACTCGGTAAAAATTTGCACTTTCATGGAAAGGAACTCTCGATCCTTCGCGAAGGGTTGCGCGAGAATGCTTGCATAAAGATCTGTAGCTCTGCTCGGGCATTTTTCCAGAACCGGAAGTCGAGCTGGTGCTGTCGTACACCCGGATACGTGCAACTGGAATGCGTTCATTTTGGCTGTTCGGTGTTAGCGCTGTTCCATAGCATAAGCTGTCTCACCTGCCTTGGACTGTTTCTCCTTTGCGTTTCGTTTTTCTGCTCGTTGCAACCCCTGGAAGTTCCTCGATCCGACAGGCTGTTCTCGATATCACCGATTAGCGGTGATAACACGATCGACGCGAATATTTCCAGTCGCGTTTCGTTAGAAAGGGAAGTGATACGTTCGAGCGCGATCGCCGGGTTAATTGCGCCGTTGTTCGGCTTCTGTGGCGATGATAACGTGCATAGGATCGGATTGTATCGCGTTCGATAATCGGCGAGACGAGGGCTGGTAGTTTTCGAGCGATCTCGAGCGTTTCAGGACGATTCTGCGGCCTCGGATCCTCGGCTCGAAGGGGGTTGGTTTATTGATTTCTCCTCGCTGTTTTCTTAGATGCTCCTGTCACGCTCCGCTCGAAATTAGGCCAAGATCGAGCCTGTCCCGCGGACCAAGCGGGACAAAGAGAGAGAGAGAGAGAGAGAGAGAGAGAGAGAGAGAGAGAGAGAGTATCCTGGCGCAGGGTATTCACGGGAATCGGGGAGAACTCGCGTGAACATCGTCCGCCGAGGCCGTAAGAGTTAATCGTTTATTGATTCCGCGCGATTTCGAATGTGCTGCTCTAACCCGTTCTACACCACTGCACTATTTGACGCCGTATCTCGAATCTGTGTTGAATCCCTCTCTCTTTCTGTTACTCTCTCACCCTCTCTCTTTTTCCCATTTTCTCTCGCTCTTCCTCCCCCCCCTCTCTCTCCTCTCTCTCTCTCTCTTTCTCTCTCTCTCTCTCTCTCTCTCTCTGGCCATTTTGGTGTGCGTATCACGATGCAACGAGCGGTCGGATGTTTATGTACAGCGCCGTTCATAATTAGTCTAACCACTCGCTATTGTCCGACGCAGATTGCGCGAGCCTCCAATCGAATTACATACTTTTGCTTTTCACATCTTTGCACACACGAGACTGCGTTTGTTTGGACTTTAGATGTGCCTGAATATTCTATTAAAGCATCCTTGTGATCTCGGTAATCGTTGAGAACCTTTTTTATTGGATAATTCGGACGTTAATACTGGAAACGTGGTTGTTATTCGTTGTTATAATTCGTTATAATTCGTTGTTGCCGTATTAACAAGTGCCTCCATCGAATACGTTTAACCCTTTGTGGTATGATTCGTTTCACGCTGAACGAAAGACGAAATTACTAATTTTCAGTTACTCCGTAACTGACGCTCAGATTGTGCACAAAAATGGACAATTTGGGAAGAGGAGATACGATCGTTCGAGCCTCGCAGCTCGTTTTTATAGTTGTTGATAGTTCGTAGCTATAAAAATGAACCGCAAGACTCGCATAATCGTATCTCCTTTTCTCAAATTGTCCATTCTTGTAGTCAAACAGAGCGTCAATTAGAGAGACATTACTGTGCCTACGTTTACTCCAACAAATCGTTAACGCAACAGTAGAATTTATTATCGGACTGCGGATTTTACTTATTCGATACAAGAAATAGCAGATCAAACGTCTGTCGCGTTATTTTCATTTTAGCAAATTTATTGAGAGAAGAAACGACCGAATTTAACGAACTCCGATAAGTTTGCAGGGGCGTAAGTTCGCATCCAACCGAACAGCCCAATTCAATTTCATGTCCACAAACTAATTAGATAACGTTTCTGAAACACTGTTCGAAGCCGAGGGCTCGTAATCGCGAAGTCGGATCGTTCTGGCGTACCATAACCGGTCGCGTACCATAAATTAAAGGGTTTATTGGGTCGTTGGACGGTGACGATTCGAGGAGCTAATAGCGATGCAACAGGAACGAGGCGTCGTCGGTGCATGGTAGCTGCGAATGGAAAGACCGTGGGACGGTCACGCGCGTTGGGCGGTCTTTTTTCTCCGTGGGGGTAGGAATTACGGGTTGAGACGAATGAAATTAAGCCCATATGGTTATATCGGCGGGGTGTGCTCGGCTCGATGCGCGGCGCCGCGCAACTGGTTGATTTATCGGTGCTTTCGCGGACGCGAAAACTAGCAAGAAGGCCGAATTGGATTACGCTGTGTGCACAAATTGCTTTATTCAAATGCAATTTAGGGGTCGCGCGCGTCTTTCCTAGACTGCAAAGGAGAGTTTAAAGAGAGGAGAGGCCATTGTGTTAGGCAACGTTCCCTGCGTACACACGCTCGCGATCCATCGATTTCCTTTAGTCGGCGGGGCACCGTTCGCTGTCGAATTGAAAGAACCCGGCGATACATAACACGCGAGGGACTGTTCACCCTTTCTCAGTCACGGTGGCTACGCATTAACCGCTCTGTCGTCCATTAACATAAATATCCCGACGCGAACTTTTTCGATCCAGGATCTCCT